TTTTTTTTTTTTTTTTTTTTTTTTTTATTCGTCATGTTCGGTATTTCCAATTTGCGCTATTACGTTGTCAGTGGAAACACATTGTAAGCTGCATATTGTTAGGGTGTGGCACTTTTACACAGTCAGTGGTGGGGGAAAAAAACTGCGTTGCGCTGACTGTGGAGTTAATCTCTGCCTTCACGAACAGAGTTGCACTTGTTTGGGCCCTTTGGGTCACGTAAATCACTCGGCTCTGTTACGTCAGACTACTGTGGGCCTGGGAGCCAGTAGCATTACCCACAATGCATCTGCGGCAGCTTAAAGTGTGTGTGGGAATTTGGTTGGTTTGGAATTTTAATCGCGGACATAAAAACAATTAACAGAGCATCACAGCGATGTAATTCTGATTAGGACCCTGTTTGGCTCTTATAGTCAGAAAGTGAGGTGTTTCTGTAATTTTTCTCCCAGACTTCTCAGTGCAGTCCTGTTCAATGCGTGCCCTTTTTCAGGTGATTTCATTTTTCAGCCATGACCTTGCTCTCATACAGCTGTTCTGTCCCACCTGCTGCTCCTTCTGAGGACAGCCGTCCTTCTACTGGAACTGGGACCCGATCCGCGGTGAGGTTCCCAGAGACAGGAAGCAGCTGCTGTCCGACTGACCTCTGCTTCTCCGGCTTAGATAGAGATCAGGAAGGAGATTCCCTGCTATGTGGGTGAAGAATAAGGAAGTATCTTTTCAGAAGACTATGAAGATTGTTTTAATGATTCATAGTAATCTGAAATGGTCTAGACTTTTATTATTAAATACGTTCTTTTTCCATCCCTCCCCTCCCCCAAGCAATAAGGGACTTTTTCATAATTGCTATTCCCCTGGACTTTTTCTATATTTAACTTCTACAATTTTTTTCCATTTCACCTGACCAGAGTTGGGGAAAAAGTGAGTGGATTCATGAACGTGGTGAGTCTGGCCCAGAAAAGCTGCGAGAGCTAAAGCAACTTAAATGGACGCAGAAAAAGGCGGCAAACTAATCCAATATGTTTATCACACAAACTTCAACCTCTGGAGCAGATTACCCCCGATGAAGAAATGTTTAGTTGTATGAAAACCACTATGTTTCACATTTGTTCTAATAAGCAAATTATTTCTAATTTCTTAAAAGTTTGAGTGATATATAATTGTGGTAGAAGTAAAGAGAGACATGCACCTCTGGAAAAGGTTAATAATCTACTGCACTGAACCCCATTGAAAACCTCATGGTTACTCCACCAAATATTGATTTCTGAACTCCTCCTGAGTTAAAACATTAATCTTGTTTTTAAGTGAATATGAACTTGTCTTTTTGCATTATTTGACCTCTGAAAGCACTGCATCTTTTTCGCTATGTTGACCGTTTCTCATTTTCTGCAGATAAAAACAAAGTTTTTGCTTGGAATTTCAGAGACACGTTGTCAGTAGTTCATAGGATAAAAGCACAATGTTCACTTTACTCAAACATTTGCGTATAAAGAGTAAAATCAGAGAAACGACGGCATCCCTGCCACACCTTCAGCCTACAGGCTCTTTCACGGCACCAGCGAGTCATTTCCAAATAATATAACCTGAGATGGGCTCTTCAGGGCAGACTGCCATGGAAAAAACCCTGTAAACTAATGTGCACTGTGAGTAGACCTGGTCCACTGGTCTGACAACAAAACCCACTCCTTCCCTGCGTGAGATTACACCGTGCTCAAATGCCTAGTCGTCAGAAAACGTCAACAGAGCCACAAACCTTTTGGTTCAAGCAAGATTTGAGAACCTGGTTCCTCTTTTTTTTTTTTTTTTTTTTTGCTTGTTTCCCAAAGTCAGAACAGGCAAGAACATGTCCAGGTTTGTGCAATAAATTTTTACAAGCGCAGACTTTGTGTAATGAGCGCTCAGCTGACTCAACAGCAGAGTTAACGGTGATTGTGATCAGATGGCGCGCTCTTTCCATCTTTGTTTTCGTCCTTACTGAGATGGAGTGCAACAACAAGTCAGTCCAATTATCCAGCGAGCAGCACTTAAGCTCATCTGAGTTCGTCCTGAGAAACGTGAAAGCAGAAAGAGGGAACAATATGTACACTCACGCAAACCGTACAGTAAATCTGGACAGTCACGCACGCCGATATCTCCAATGGAGCATCGCTGGATATAAACATGTCAAAAGAGGCAGATGAAGACTTGCGGGGACTTTTAGGAACATTCTGATCATTCCTGTATTGATAACCTCAGGTCTTCCGTGCAGCAGAAGAACAAAAATGCTTCAACTAACAACCAGATCCAGATGTGGAGCCTGATCGGCCGTGTGCAGGCAGATGAAAATTAATCTGAATAAAAACATATTTTTAGCACAAGCAGACCATCACCGATGGTTGATTGGCTCAATTTTATCCAAACTTTTTAAAGCTATTTTTGAGTCCCACACTCTCAGAAACGTAGATTTCATCGGTCGTGAGTAAATCGATGGAAGCTGATGCAATCTCGTCTGAAGAGAAGTTTCTGAGGAATTCTGACTGTGGTTTCTGCTTAATCACTTGCTGTCCATATAAACCCTCTTGCAACTGCGACGGCTCCATTTTCCAGCGGCTCCACGCCCCGTTTGTTTTGTCGCTTCTCATTTCTTTCTGACTGCCTGAAAGGCAGGACGGCGTAGACTTGTCCTCTTCAGTGGCACCATGTATCTCCTGCTGGTTCCTCTGCTGCTGGTTCCGATCCAAGTAAGAGGCTTTTTTCTTTATTTTATTCGTAAAGCTGACTCTTTTCTACATGTTTTTGTTTTTTGCGCTGTCAACTGTTTTCCCCATAGTAAAGTAGACCTCTTCAGGGTCTCTGGGTTGCAGCAGAACGAGTTTCTGCAGGATTATTTATTCTGCATGATTTCTCACATTTTCTCAGATATTTACAGTTTTCATGAGATTACAATCACAAACTGTATTTTTGAGCAGATACAAAAGTCTGACCTGTGGAGTTGCATGTGGCCCTTGAGGCCCTTCATAGTGGCTCTCAAAAACCAAAAATAAGAACAAATTGACCAATGTGTTATTTAACAGTAAGGTGATTAAAATAGCTAGTTTTACCAGTTTTTGTGTTTTCTCTGCATAGACGAATTATAGCAGAGGCTTATAAACATTTTTCTTCTTCTCTGATTTGTTTAGTTCTGTAATGATGCTGCGTTTTACATTTATTTTGAGAGAATGGATTTGTTCTCTTTTTTTCTTCTACTCAAGAACCTTAAATAGAAATAAGATTTGACTTAATCAGAACACATACTGCTTCTTTATTTTCACAACAGGCATCTAGAAAACAATGAAGAGAATCCAGAGCATGACTCCTCAGAAGAGAAAGCCCACAGCATCACAGATTAGCTACCGTGCTTTACAGTATTTATCTTTTATTTCAGTGTTTGTTGCAAAAAAAACCTTCATCTTAGTCTCATTTGACCAAAAGATTTCCATTTGAAGTCCCAGTAATGCTCCACAAACTTTATGCTTCTGCTAATAGAACAGAAGGTGTTATTATTATTATTATTATTTTAATTTGAACATGTTTTCCCCCTACTGAATAAAAGATTAAATCTCCACAGAGACACTGAGTCTCCAAAATGGTGTTTAGGGTTTTCTACTTTGATGCATGATAATATTTTTATTTTTGCAGCGTTTAGGTGAAACGTATAAAACCACACCACTGCTGGACCGTATTACTCATGCAGTGACGTCTGGTTTTTACTATTATCATGAACGCAGCTGTCACACCCAGCTGGTTTAGGTTCTGTTGCGTAAGACTTGAGCACGACTTCCTAAATAGCCAGGAACACATCGCAACTACTCACAAGAAGTCCCTGAGAGCAGCAAGTACATGAAGAAATTATGATTTGATTCTATGTTCTGGTTAAACAAACAGAAAAATCCAAATACCTTTAATTATCAGATAGCTAATTTTACCTGATGTCCCTGAATGAACACTTTACCAATTTTATAGTAATTTCTGGTAGATTTAGGTTGGAAGTAATTTTTTAATATAACAAACATGTTTCTTTGACTGGACTTTATTTTAACGTTTTGGAGTAAAGAATGACAATTTGATATGAATATTGTAAATAAAAACAGATACATAATATGGAAGAGTTTAAGACCTTTGAAAAATAATTTAATAATTAAAAAAAAAAAATTATGTGATTTCTTCTGGATATGACCAATATGTATTCACAATCAATGCTCTTTTTACAGAATGATGTTAGTTTTGAGAGAGCGGCCTTGTTTGATTCTCTCGCAAAAAACAAACTTGATTTTAAAAATTACTTCAAATCCAAATCTGCTGCGGGGTATGAATAATTTTGAGCCCAACTGAACGCAACAACTTTTTGTATTTTTCCTTTTTCCCCCTAAAGAAATCACATTTTGAGCGTCGCTATTCCGCCACCGCTAGAGGGAGCTGTGCGACTGCTAAACGCAATTCCTCAAACTCCATTTGCTGCACATTTGCTTTGTATTTGTGGCATACTTCAGGCAGAAATGAAAAGCGACACACATGTGTATTGCTCTGTAAAATGATCTATTTTTTGTTTATTTATTTATTTGTTTTTATTTAGATGCTCAATCTTCCAGGGAAGGAAAGGCCAACGGGTAGGAATGACACAATAATTTACTCTTGTTGTTATAACTGCGTATTTTTCTTGCCATAATTTACTACCCAGCGTTTATAGTTTTTTTTTGTACTATTTTATGCCTTCTGTAAGAGATCTACCATTTTAATTTGTTTCAAGTGTTTCTGTTCTATATTTGATCCAAAGTGTCTCCTAACTTTTCTTCTTTTTTTATGTAGCAATGGGATTCACGGAGGTGCTGAACAAGAGCCTTTGTCGGCCGATTGAGCAGTATGTGGAGGTGGAGAAGGAGTTCCCTAAAGAATTTGAGGGTTTCTACATACCTCGCTGCGTCTCACTGTTTCGCTGCTCTAGCTGCTGCCTTGATGGGTCTCGGGAGTGCTATCCTGTCGTTGAACGCAACATATCCTTGGAGGTGAGGAGAGATCACGGGCGCTTTCAGACTCATTTGATTGCATGAGACGTTCACTTCCCTCCCCTCATGTCTGCAGGTGAGTTGGTCGCGTCAGGTCATCAACCTCACGTTTGTGGAGCATCTGGAGTGTGGAGTGAGGTAGACTAATGTCAGACACACCTGGTTCGATTCAGCTGGTATGAAACTGGAATATTAAAGTTGTTCTCCCTTTTAGGCCGAAACAGTATCAAAATAATACAAGGTCAGTAAATGAAAGGTTTTATCTTTTGGGATCTGAACTTATTTATGACTTAGTAATAATTTTGTTCTTCACAGCAATGAGGACTCTCTCAGGGACAGACCTCAAAGGAGGAAGAACAGAAGGAGAAGATGTGAAAAGTAAGCCTGATCTTGTCATCGTTTTTCTCGACTCAGCCTGATCATGGTGAACGAAGCCGTTTCCGGAAGGTCGCAGAAACTTTGACAGATTAAACCAAGCACAAACGTTCTACAGATTTAAAGTAGGAAGAAGAAATCAACTAATTTCTGTCGCTGGAAATATTGTTTTGGAGCAGATCACGAGATACTCCAGGGTGACTGTTCGTAGACTGACTGCAGAGTCTTTAAGGAGAAACTTGACTTTTGAACAATCTCCTTTTATCCACATTTCAACCACCTATTGACTGGAGAAATTGTAGGTAGTTCTAGTTTTTTTTTTTTTTTGGATGACTTTCTTCCTCCTCTTGGTGCAATTCACCAGAACCGCTGGTACAGAGCAGAGCTGCCCCACTTGTGGGTCACTGCAGAGTTTTGTCAAGTCTGTCGAAACAGAACGTGGTGAGAGCAGAACAGAGGGAGTAT